CACAATAACTACGTCCTTTTTGCCAGGAACGAAGCCCCTCCTACTGTCTACTCGGGAATGCCTGTAGAAGTTGTTCTCTTTTTTAAAGTTAATGGAGTTGGTAGAAATCGAAAGGGATAAACGTAATCATTTTGATGCTTTCCTGAAGAAAGTGAGACGGAGGAAGGCGAAAAACGATGTATTTAGGGTAAGGGAGAAGAGCATGAGAAATATCGGTGAGACGGGAGAACCAAAAAGGAATAGAAACAGGACGGAGACGAGGAAACGAAGAAGAAAAGACGGAACTAGAGGGCTTATCGTGTAAGATTGGAGGGGAATTGGGGGTAGGATTGCGAGGAGATGTGGGATCCGGAGGGTGAAGGGAATGCAGAGGAGGAGGTTAAACTAAACAACAAGATGGAAAGGAAAGAGCACCGCAGGAGGAAGAAGACGACGACTAATAGCGGGAATAAGGGAGTTTTAAAAAGTAGGCAAAAACTGCTGAATGTAGCTTTTTGTAGATTTCTGTGCGTGTGGTGTGCGTCCCCAAGACGGGCCGCGCGGCAGATGCGCCACACCAACACGGGAGCTATATTGGATTCTGGCAGGCGTTATCGAGAATGCGCACCCGTAACAAATGCCAGCATTCGGGGAGTGGTGGCAGGTCCATTTGTCAACTCACACCGAGCACAATGGGATGCCTGCCGCCTCCACTTTTTGTTGTTAGTTAAAATCCTGGTCGTTTGCAGCCTTGACTAGGGGATGTGGAGTGGAGCGCCAAGGTGCGGGCTCGGCCGGGTCATCCACCTGTGCCCCCTCCCGCTTTCGGTCTTCTTGACTCTGTCTAGATACCGGGTCCAGGTGAGGGAGGAAGAGGAGGAGGGAGTGCAGTAGATGCAGCTCAATTCTATACTCACTATGAACTAATTCACGCGGAAGTCACCGTGCCTGCCTAACCTTGCTGTGGACCACAAGGTGAACATCGTCGGACACGACGGTCGACTTGTCGGTGCGTTCTCCGCAAATCCTGCAAAGCGGGTGCATCACGAGTGAAAAAATCGAACGAACCCCGTGTTCGGCCAGATGGAACAGTGCGTTTTTAGGCTAATGTGCGTGGGCGGACGGCTGTTAGAAGCGTTATTACAGCGACGTCAGCATCCTGGCCGTCGAAGTTAACATCTGGTTAGAAGTAAGTTCATGAGGGAATGGAAGCCGTTGTTAAAGACAATGCGGGACCGTCCACTTCGGCGGCGGTGACAGCTGTGACGGGAGAGGCGGCCGAAAAAGAAATCCGAGAGCCAGAGACGCAACGATCCCCCATGTGTGCACTTGAGGCAAGTAACTGCCGCAAGAGATATATAGTCAAATGGTGAAAAAATGCTCTGTATGAAATCAGAAGAGATCGTATTAATAATTGTACTGTTTGTCTGATCTTTAGGGCCTCGAAGTCTGTTATAAACTTGCCGCAGGCCACATCGGTCGTCCGACCAACAGCTCTACCTGACCAGATGTCCAAACCAGGACTCAACAATAATGGTGGGGGAAAATGTATTGATGTATTCTACTGCGTATAATAGACAAAATGTAAATGTAGAAATTTTCAAGGTCTGATTAAAATTCGATCTAACGAATAGTGCCCTTACATGGCTAATATGACTTTCGGACTTCTGGCTCATCTGGCCGGTTGGATAAGCCTTCTGCCCTGTCTTGAGCTAACCCGATAGTAACGCGCACCTTGTTTGTGTAGTGGCCACTAGCGCGACATCCAGACATGGTCTACAGCCCGTGTTCGCACACCAAAACGCGCAGGGACTCGCTTTGTTTTTAGGGCAAACAGGCTTGGCTGTCCTGTTTATCGTACAGTTTTTGCTTCTGGTAACCTGTCAGCCACTTGCCTGTGCAATCGGTAATCTCTATAGTGCTGGTGACATCTGCTTGGGTCAGTTTTTTTCGAGTTAATTGCCGTCCGAGTTTGTAGAGTTGGTACCGCACAATACGGTAGATTGTTTTATAATATTGTAAGCAATCTCTAATTCCTACCGTCCATGACAGCGAACGGACAGTGTTCATCCCAAGTGGGGGACGTAGCTCAGATGCAAACGCTAAGATGTGAGTGCGCACGGAGTTAGATGGAATTTATCAGAATGGGAGTTTATTCTTCACGTTACCCTAATTAAGGGCCTCCACGGAGGCGACACTTGGCAAGGTCAGCACGTGTGCCCTCGGTATTAACTTATGCCCGACCCCATAAAATTTACAGCAATCGGTACAAAAAAGCACGAAAATACAGCATCGTGACATACAGTGGCTTATACTCCTCATTTTGTACGCGGGCGTACACTGGACACTTAGAGTATGTAGAACAAACAAGATCCTGAATCTAGTTGTAAAGACCACGGACAAAGGGCTGCATCACATCTGAGTGCACAACAGTAGAGATGGACTCACAAAGTCGGTTGTAGTTAAGACGACGGCTGTGTTGTCCGACACTGAGGCTTTGAACGACTTTTCAAGCTCTGGGGAGGTGTGGGGATCCGACCGGTGATCAGTGGTCGACCTGAGATCGAAGCATTTCGATAAAGAATGTGAGAATCTGTTTGGGTATATTTTTAAATGTTTTGGGTGAGGAACGACTTTTTGTATTCTCATATAAACGACAGCATTCTTAGAGTGCAGAGTCATTTGAGTAGTAATTCATATGACCATAACACAGATGACACTGTGAGTGATCTCTCTCTTAAATGTCCATCAGAGATTAAGTGTTAACTTGGGTTAGGGATAGCTGGTGAGGGAATAGGATCTGTATATATTCATTGCAAGATTACGTCTGTGCTTCAATATACTTATTCGAAGGAGGACTTTCCAGATGAGCTCAGGACTAATTGTCTGGCCAAGGGTTTGGATTTCACCAACAGAGAGGTTTTGCATGGAGATAAGTTTATAAAAACTTGCTTTAAGTAGTTGAAGCCAGATGCAACCCCAATGTTATTTACTATGGACTAGCTTCGCGTGGTATTATCAACACATCGGACGAAAAGCGCTGCCATCTACTAGGAGGATAATAAATCTTTCAATGTTTTGGAGTTTTGCAATCGGGAAATCTATAGGAAAACAATCAGTGGTGCGCCGGGTCAAGAACCTTGACAGGATCACCAGAGATTTGGGGTACATCTTTGCAACTATGAAACATCCAGCTCAGAATTTCTACTGCGGTCAAGAGTCTGATACCGTATATTCAAATTCTGGCCAGTCCACTGCTTGTAGTTTTAGGGAAGATCTAGCAAAGCATTTACAACCTCGCTTTGGATGTAGGACGATGGGAGCCTGATATCAGTCTTTAGAAATTGAATCTGGCCTTAGGTTCGCTCTCAAGAGTCCGTTGGCGAGCGTAAACAACTCCTGAAACAGAAAATCTTCATTTCCAGTTAAACGTTGCCCTAGGGCAAACAAGTGTAAACTGCTGTGGATCACAAACTAAGGCAAGCCGAAACACCAATGAGGTAAGATGGATTATTTGGGAAGACAAGTACGAAGGAGCAGGCAACTAAGGCGGACACCGTGGCAGGAGAAGTTAACCACTTCAGAGGGTTACCAGACCACTTTTCCGGCTGAGAGGACTGACAAGCAATAGCGATTACCCTGCCAGACAGTGGGGGCAGGATTTCTAAAGCGATTATCGCCTGTGCTTCGTCAAAGTCCAATGTAAGGAAGTGACGTGTTTGATGACCTACATCAGCAGATTCAAATTTATCGGATATTGTTCCGTATCTCAGTTGAGATGTAAAAATACGTCCTTTTGATTTCCAGCCCTAAACGCAAACCGTCATCCAGATTTTGTGAAGAGTCTGGTAACATACAGAGGAAGATTCAATCGTCCGCTAAATTCCTATCGATGTATGCAGTTCCACTTGATTTCCAAGTTTATGTGTTGGTCGGATTATTTCCCTGGCAGAACCACTATTGACCGCGTTTGCCTCCATTTGTGACACATCCCATCTTATCTGAATTAATATCGGCCCATTCTATCTGATCTCAGTATTTGGGGCTGCAACACTTCTCAAGCTAATTTTTGCCGTTACCGCCTGCGACCCATAGGTCAAGGAGGTCTGGCAAGCCCTTACGTACCAGGTAAACGGTAAACGTCCAGCAGTCGATATGAATTGCTCTGCAAGAAATATTTAAAATGAAGACGAAATTTATGGGGGATGGTGTGCGTCATAAACTGAGGCAGTACAGAAGTGCATACTTCCCAATTCAAAACTTCGTAAGTCGGAATGGCAGGAAAGTAAAAAGTCTAGAGGAGACGCCGGAAAAACTAAGGAAGTAGTCGTCTGATTCTGCTTATATTGTTCGAAGATCGGTTCGTACATGTGATTCATCTCCCCCATTACCGTTCGAGACTGATTTCCTCTACATAGAATTCTACTTTGCCCTCTGAATGCTTCTAGAGTTGGATTCGGTTATAATAAGCGACAATTCCACATCCTGTGGATTATGGCGCTTAGTAACTTGGAGGCCTGTTTGTTTTCTGTCATTAAGTTTGACCGAAAAATGGAACCATATGATGATCTCTGGTATTCTCTGAATGAGCCAGAGTAGACCTGTCAATGCCGGCCGGCACTTAAACCCATGTCGTACCATAGTTCTGGGTTCTCTCAGAAGATTCGACTAACCGAAATCCACGTTCTACGTCAGTCAAACCGACTACACTGGTATTTTGGTCTTTTTACGATTTGAGACTAGGAATTACCCCTTATTTCCCCCAAACTCCTTCTGCATGTCGCTATTCGCAGGTTTTACCAAAGGGTTGTCAACCCAGCATTGCTATTGGTCGGGCAATGTGGAAGCCTCGAACCTCATAAGAGTGTACAAAAACAGACGGACTGGCAAGAAACCAATCAGAATATGACCTTGAATGAGCAGTTGCCTGACCAAGAAAAATTTATTTCTACAAAAACACTGGAAGGGACCCAAAGAGAGAGACTTAGAGAGGGAGAATCGCGGACGATTGAGCTTGCAGTATGGAAGGTAGCGTCTTCGGAAAGAACTCGGGGGCTTGGAACAGTTGTAATGCTGTCATAAACAAGCTATTCGATACAACACCGGATACAGTGAACAAAGTATCTAACTCTTTGAATTCCGTAGATGCTCTTATCCGGACGGGTAAGCCAAAAGGTCTCTATTTTGTTGCAAATAAGGATTTAATTTGTTTAAATTTAGGCGACATTTAAGGTACATAGCAGTATTTGACGAAAATTCTTATTTGAGCATGAGAGTAAAGTCAATATGGCCACATTAGGCTGTGTTGCGAATTCGAATTGGGTGTGCAGTTCATGAAGTCGTTTAAATTTCGCCCCAGTGTAATATGGCGGCTGTATTTGGAGTGATTCTTCGATAAGTATTGGTTACAAGGCAGTGATGCAAGTGATTATGCGCGTTCCGTTCGCTCACTAAGTTGTGCGGCAGTAGGTTGAGATCCGTTAGAACAGCAGTCTGGGTCAATTATGACAAGATCTGGGGCTATCACCGGCTCGATTTTTTATAAAACTGTTTTTTAACGCAGCTAGCTTTCTGCCATTAAAGGTTATGCCGTATACGTGCAGTCCTTTCCCTCACATGTACTTAGAAGTGAGTTCTTTTCAGAAATGTCAACTCATGCCTCTGCGCCACACACAAAGTTTCTCCTAAAAACTTTAAATTGTTATTTTTATGTAAGGTTACACCACAGGCTAATGCAATTCTCCGCTAACAGCCACCCATTTTAGACGTTACTGAACGTAGTACAAAAATACTACATGGTTCACCACAATGACAGCACATAGGCACTGGTGAAAATCCAGACACTTGTCTCATCTATTCGTCTGCCGCTGCCTGACGCAGACGCGAGGGATTCGGCTTATCAATGCGTCAACCAGCGTGCGTCGGGTGCTTTCAGTTACGGGTACTCGATTTCAACTTTAAAATCTCCTCAGAAATTAATGCGCTAACTTGAAGTAAATCTTTCAGGAAAACCCCTGGAGGGTCGGTCCGAAGGTTGTCCTAAAGCATTTACCCCAAGTTAGCGCATTAATTTCTGCGGGAACTAAAACGTTTGCACTCCAGTTACTGGGTGTACCAGAAACACGTGAGAAGTGCTGAGGAACCCGATTATCAGGCGAGTCTTCCGCAGCCACGTCATTTGGTCGCAGAAAATCGGCGAAAGGTGTGTCTGGGCTTTTAACTAACGTCTGCGCGGTCAGTATGATTATCCAGGCAACATATGTATACTACTGATTTCCTGTTGGAGGATTATAATGAGTACCCGATTATGCCGTTGTAGCTGATGAATTTTGACTTAAATATCCATGTCCACACTCGAACCGAGCGCCGAATGGTTTGTAGAGAAGGACTCACTTCAAATCAGCGCATTAATTACCGTGTCATCAGGATCTTATCCGCCGGGGACTCACCTTTAAATTTACGTGCTAAGTCCTTACAGGCATAATTTTGTTTGCCACAGAACGCGTAAAGTTTGCATACATGAGCCGCAGGTGGGGCCGCGGCGTTCTCGACTCACCCAGACTCCTGTGTTTGCGTATATCCTTACCTCCTAGTGGCCACTCAGTTACGATTTCCTGTCCCATACTGAAAGGGCAGGTTGCCTTTTTAAATATAAATGATGAATCAAATGTGTACTGCTCGTACGCACAGTATGTATATGAAAGTTAAAGACTCCGAGTGTAATGAGTGCAGTTGGTCTCACAGAGAAAACGACGCAGTTGCAGAGATGGGGCCCGGAAGTGTTGTCTATGCGGCCATATGCCATCATTTAGACCGACAATTTCTTGTCGTCTATGAAGTCGTTATCACGGAAAAATCACACTCATTCGTAGTATATTTTTAAATAATTGTTTCATGCAGAACTCTTATTGCGCAAAGAGTTGGCAAGATCTTCAGTGAAGGTACGCATTTGGTGATAATTAATACTTTAAACAGTGGAAAGCTTTAGCTTGAAACCAAGGTGAAGTCCTTAAAACCTTCGCAGTACTGCATCGATTTCAAGGAGGGGGGTTGAGCTTCATAGCTGCTGGAACATAAAGCTCCTCCAGTTGTTCTAATTTACCGACAGTCACGTACCATGCCCCCCAACAAAGGAGAGAGAAAGGGGTCTGTTTAATGCTTCTTGATCGGAGTTCGAGTTAACGTTTTAGAACAGATTTTGCGCCCAAATTTATTGTGCATGATGCAGCACTAATTCCCAAGGCTTAACGTTGTGGTTAGAACTAGTCTCGATAGTTAGGATCACATTTTTGTGTTAGAAAACTACATAGATTTTATAAACGGAAGTTAAGGAAAACAAATATCACTTTCCCCAAGTTACCATTTCCATTGATCAAACTGTATGCGCTGAACAATAACTTTTCGATTTTCGTGTTGATTTTCTAGGCAAATTCAACTTGTTGTATGCCCTTATTCGTAATCTGTTACGCAATGACGGGTTGCAGTTGATAAGCTGTCGTTAAATGTATTGGTCCAGCAAATTCGGTTGTTTACGCCCTTTTTAAATGCCCATTGAGGACAAAATGCTTCAGGCATCTTCTTGTTGACTATTATACGTTCGTATTTGTCAGTTTTCGAGGGAAGAACTTAACAAAATATGCGTAGAATAAAGCGCTGCATTAGTAGGTGGAGGTTACAGCATAAAAGCACCATTTCTTCACATGCAAAGACTGCTTAAAAAGAATAACATCTCACTAAGTAGACTGTTACATAGCCCACGAGCACGTAAAAAGATCGTCAAAATATGAAAGGGTTAGAAATTCATATACTTTGCAAAGTCATATCAGCAATTTAAGCAACAAGCAGGTAGCAGTTTCTTTGAGGCCTGCTTTGTTTTTGAGAAAGGATGTCTGAGCCGCTACTGAACCCCCCGTTCAACTGTTCCCATTTGTAAACTTCGACTGAACCACAGAAAGCACGTTGTTCTCAGGCACCTGGGTTAGCCAGGAACTTTGAGTTGTTCACAGCTCTGTGCTACAAGCCCGCGCTTGAAACACCGGTGTGTACGCGCTACTCATAGAAAATAGCATAGTGAGTGGACGAAATTGCCCCCGAATAAGTGGGATAACGCTCAAGGCAGGCGACTGTATTCTCGACCAATTGCATTTTGCGGGCTTTTGCATTCTCCCCACAATTCGCTCAGCACTTCGGCGGCGGCGGCGGCGGCGGCGGCGGCAATCCACCGCCACATCGACAAACTCCATCTGCCCTGTTCAGTCCCTGTCGCACCAAACGTGTTAGCGCATTGGTTTCGTGCAACTGACTGATTAAGTCAGAAGAAGACACCTCCGTTCCGCTCATCACAGTACACTTAATTGAAACTGCTCAAAGCTGAAATGGCACACCAGAAACGAAATTTACTCATTCAATCTATATTTTGGGTATTTGAGTAAAAACGGCATATAAAAAGCCAAATTCACATTTTAGAGAGTTTAGGTGCTTTTCACTCAGGTCTGCCAAAGTTATTTTTGTGTTTGCCTTTGTTTTCAGATAAGTCTGGATTTCTTTATTGTGCTATGAAGTTGTGTGAAGCGCATCTAGTTAATCGTGACTTCAGTAAGCTAAAAAACTTGCAACACGTGTGCACTACTGGCTGCCTGTTGGTAGTTCATAAAGATTACGCTGTTACTCCGATGAAGCCAAACGCATTCGGCCCAAATATTCACTCCGATGAGCCTATTTCCGGTTGCTTCGAAAAGTGCACTTTCCAAGAACTGATGTCTACAGTAGATGTGCTAACTAATGAAATGTTAACTGAAATTGTGAAATGTGTTTTCGACTCGAGAAGACTACTTAGAGCAGGTGGATTAACTCATGAAATGTCAATCGAAATTCCGAAATGCCTTTCCATTTAGAAGAGATAAATTAAGTAGGATTGTTCAAATAATCATCATACAGAGTAATTATATGATAATTCAGTTACCTCAGGACGCCGTCTTTCGAATGAACTTCTGTCAGACTGCACACAAAAACTATATTCTGTAAAAAATGACTACTTATGTAACGTAAACTTTGCTATCCGATCCTCATTGCCCTAAAATATTCAATTATAATCCATGGAAAGCATGCATGAAAATATTCATTTTTTTGCTCATTCGGTGGGAACATACGACTTCTTCTAATTTTATACTCAAAGGAAGGGTTTAATTAGGTTTTCAAAAACTTACTATTTCCGAGTAATTTTGAGCCCGACCTGCCGTTACACTTGCATTCAGGGTTTCCAAACTGCAAGCCGTATACTTCCCGCGTACGGAAATCCTTATATTTATCTACGGAATTAAGAGGAGACTATATGGGGTTCATAAAATTTGGCAGTGGGTTTGGGCCCTATTGTGAACTTTACAAGCCATATTGGTAAATTCAGAGACATTACGTTTTATGAGCGGCCATTTCAGGGTATTAAAAATCCCACAATTATAAACCTTTTAAAACCGAATTATACCCTTCCTCTGAGTATAAAATTGGAGGAAGACCTAATTTTCTGACGAATAAGCAAAAGGATTTAATATTTTAATGCATGCTTTCCATGGAATATAATTGAATATTTAAGGGTATCTAGAATCAGTTAAAAAATTTTACGTTACTTAGTCATTTTTTACAGAGTATGGTTTTTGCATGTAAGAGGAAAAAGTTCGTTCGAAATTATTATAGAATTACGCTGTATGATGATTATTTTTACAATCCTACTTAGTAAATTTCTTCGAAACGAAGACGCATTTCGTAAATTCTGTCTAAATTTCATGAGTTAGCCCAGGTATTGTAAGTAGGGTCGTAATATTAATCACCGCGCAGCATAATCCCATAATAATTCCATTAGGTCAGGATGTTGGCTTTTAAACGAAATTCTTTCCAGCCGCTTCAAAAAACTACAGGCCGTAAAAAAGGACCACTTAATTAGGGTGAATTTTTCCCCTTGACTTTCGATGCCCTTATGAATCGAAATATATCTCATTGAAAACATTGCATAGAAATATTCATTCTTTCACTTATTTGGCTGAAAATTCCGTTTTCAAATTCGTCACTTAAAGAAAGGACATAATTCAGTTCCAAAAACCTTTTCCAACTTCCGAATGCTTTCAAACCTAACCTGCCATTACACTTACATTCAAGGTTTCAAATCCACAAGCTGTATATTTTCCGTGTACGGAAAATCATAATTCCTATGCTCTATTAAGATGAGGCCGTATGCGGTTCATAATATTTCGCAGTGGATCCGAGTCGTGTTGTAAACTCTACAAGAAACACTGGTAAATGCAAAGACACGATGTTTCATTAAAGAGCATTTCACGGTCTCAAGAAATCACATAATTAGAAACTTTTTAAAGACCGAGTTTTACCCTTCTTCCTTCAAATATAAAATTTGGAGGAGACGTAATTTTCTCCTAAATGAGTAAAAGCATGAATATTTTCATGCGTTTTTATAAGATATATTCGAGTTTATAAGGGGGTCGAAAATTGATTAGGAAAATTTATGCTACTTAAGCAGTCATCTTTTACAGAGTATAGTTTTTGCAGGTAGCCGGAGAAAATGTCATTGAAGAGCCGACATCTTGAACTACTGGAATTATCATGAGATTATTCTGCACTGTAATTAATATTACAACCCTACCTAAGTAGTTTTTTAGAGTCGAAAACACGTTCCAGAATTTCGGTTAGCATTTCATGAGCTAGCGCATCTACTGTAGGTACTATACTCTTTTCCATTGGTGTTTCATAGAAGCCGTGCAGGAAAGTATTCTCTTCTGCACTCCCTCGGTGCCAAACTATGTCTTCTTTAAATTTCCAAATGATTTTGAATTCGACCTGCTGTTGCCCTTGCGTTGAGGGTTGTCAAACCTGAAGCTGTATATTTTCACTGTAACGGAGGAATCAGGAATTTGCATTCGCTATTAGGAAGACGTCATAAAGCGCTCATGTGATTTCGCAGTGGATGTGGTTGATGTTGTACACTTTATAGGCAGCATCAATAAACGGAAACGCGAGAAATTTTGTAAATGGACATTTCAAAGTTCTCCAAATCTCATTGCAGCCCCCTATTAGAATCGAGAAATACCCTTTTTACATGTAAGGAGTTTAGGAGGAGACTCAATCTGCTGTCAAATGAGTGCACAAGTAAATACTTTGGGAATATTTCCGTCAATATGTACTTCAATTCATAGACTACTGAAAATCAGTGAAAGAAGCGAGCACAACAAAAGTCATTTTTTAGTGAGTTCAGTTTTGGCAGGCGGCCTGAACGAAGCGCATTCAAAAGCCGACATCCTGGCATGACTGAAATATTGCGGAATTATGCTGCATGATAATCAATATCAGAAGCCTCACATAATAAAATCCTTTCGGGTCGAAAGCACATTTCAGAATTTCAGTCAGGAGATTGACCAACTACCGTATTCTTCTGCGAATTTGCGCATTATTTAGTATACATCTACCAGGAAGCCCACAAGGAATGCGGGAGGTCCTCGTAACTGTGCTACATCACTAATCACATGTCTGGGCTTTTAGCTTGAATCTGTGCTGTCAGAATGGCGACAAACATTAATTTCAGAAAAAATGCAAACGCATTACGGTAGGGGCCTCGCAGAGGCATTATGGACAATGACGATTTGTCATTTTTTGATGATTCCGACGAACACGGATTTTTAAGATGACGCACTTAATAATTCTCTAACGGGCTTTATAAGTTTCCTAACAGCTGCCGCTTATACAGTAATTTCTATCCGGGTTTTTTTCCGGTCGTCGAAATCTCCGGCTGGTTGTTAACATTGCCCTGTTCATTGAGCAATTGGAAAGTGCCTTTCATACGAGCAGACATCATGCGCCTACAAAGATGTCCTTTTCCTCCTGGACACTTTAACAGTTACATAACTAACTGTATTTATTAGGCAGCGTTTCTGCCTTCAGACCGTCCGTAAGATCTGAAAGACGTCTTCACAGTTTGTGGCCAGTAAAGTGTGTCTAACCTCAAAACCCTCGTAACTCTTTGCAAGGTGGTTGTCTGCACAGATTACCGGTCGATCGGACGGCCGAAAAGTTTCAGCCGACATATACAAGACGATGGCGATGGCAAATGGCCAATCAGAACAGAGTTCCCGAGAAGGAGTCACTAGACGGCAATTTTGAACCTTAACCAAAGTCCATTTGGGATAAGACAACAGTTTAGCATTCATTTTCCTAGGGAGTTTGTGGGAAAACAGGAGCAGAAGTCGTTTCATTTCTGGTTCAGACAAAAACATGTTGCTTAAAGTATTTTGCAGAGTCACTGCACTTGATATGCTTGTATGGCTTCCATCCAGGGCCACACGCTTATGTTATAAGTTTGGAATAAACAGTTTTCCAGGCTACAAAGTCGGAAGTCATTCGCCAATCAGTACCCTTAGGCGCAGGTTGCAGAAAGTCGGAATCAAGGAAATGTTTACAACTGAAGCCTTAACTGCCATAAAATAACGTCATTTGAAGGAATTTTTCTCGGTATGAATTAAAGGCAGGCACGCGCAGCAGTATTTGTTGGAACCAACCGCAACGCCGTCGCTACATAACACAGACAACGCACAAAAGGCATACATTAATTTGAATTTGCGAAGAAAAATCAGTATAAAACAGTCATTTCACTGTTTTTTGCACACAGAGTGGTCAATGAAAATGGAAACTTAGAAACGCAGTTTAGGAAAGAAAAAAAGGAGAACGTTGACACCCAGAAGGAGGTGCTTTGGAAGTCATTTAGTCGGGCGCTGAACTACGCTTTCTGACAGTCGAACTATTAAAACCCGAGGAGACAAAAGGACATACAGTGCAGCTGGACGCGTTCAGCAACCCCATTAAAGCTGTATCAATTCCAAGGACAAAGGATGCCTTCCCATTGCGTGTCGCCTCGAATAGTATTTATGAATTCACAGACTTGTGGAAGCAAGCGCTTTGAGCAAACATAGGCAGCTGACAGCCAGGCCTATTGAGCAAGTGCTTAAATGGCTTTTAAAACAGGGAAATTAACTTATTTGCTCTTTTATCACGGAAAACCTCCTAGATAGCGGTCACTCAGTTGACCCTAAAACATCACTCCGAGTATTAGTTCGTGCACTAGTAACTCGGTCGCTGCGCTATTTGGAAGCAGCCTACATACGGCAGGAGAAATCCGACCTATTCAAACTGCTAGACCACCTTGTCAACCTTAACTCGCCCTGATAATCCGTAAATTTACATCCTCACCTTTTTTGCTTGCCAACTTCCCCATTTTCTTAAGTTGCGTCTTTCAGTTGTCATTTTTATTGATAAATCTTTGTCCACTTTACAATTACCTAACTATTTTTGCGTTGACGTATCTGTGCAGATTCAAATATCCGCATGCGTTTTGTTCGTTACTTCTTTCATGCAGCGACGAGTTGCAGATGATAAGCCGTGGCCAATGTTGTTGGTAAAATAAATCCCGCTATGAATGCTGTATTTTAAATAGCGTCTTTCATGAAAAAAGTTAACAGGACCATGAAGCTCCCTTGATGGCTGTTTTTACGTAGGCTAAAGTGTTAAAAACTCGCAGAGCCCCTGTAAGATATTCCCCCGGAGTCGGCACAGAAAATATCCACCGAAGCCACGACGCAATAGTGTGCTGATTAATACGCACTTCCCTACCTGTTAGCCAGCAGCAGGATTTTTGACCCTGTCTGATATTTTTTAAGGTTCCTTATGTATTTGGGCGCAGGCATATCCCCCCAATTAATTTAATCACTTCGCATTTAACAAACTTCTATGTAGTCTACCGGATGGAAGGCACGTGTTCAAGACGGTCCCGGAGCAGATATTTACCACTCAGTATTACCAATCTTCCAGCATCGCCGCTTGCGAACCGTTAACCCTGCTCAAAAGGTTCTCAGTGCTAATTAGCCTTGCTAGAGGGCATAGACTCCTGTCCAGAATTTTGCTGTTTCAGAGTGTGGCAGCCTACGTTCCCCCGACCTGCAGCGGCAGTTGAGTTATATGCACAATCTGTCCAAGCGTTCTTGGATTCTTCGACAGTTTCCGTCATTCACTCGGTCATCCAAACACAAGCTCTCGTCCTTTTTGATAAATGTCTTCCGTTTAAACTATTGTTGCAAATATTAATTTCGGTAAGCGTAGATAACAACACTAGGTTGGTGTCAAGTAGGTTAGCATGTGGAATACTTTACATGGTTATTCTTTGGGCATAGCGAAGTAGAAAGCGAATTCAAAAGCTACCTCTCAGCGGATCGCCGATGCATAAGCTGGAATTTCTCAACTTACAGACAGCGACCGATGTCATGAAATGACCGAAATCCTGAAGTGTTTTGATAAGGAAGGATTACTTAGGTACCGTTGTAACACTGATTATCTTGCAACGTAATCTTATAATATTTTGGACTTGGCAGGATGTCGGCTCTTGGGTACGCTTCTATTCAATTTCCTGTAGAAGCTGTACCTGTTAAAAAATGACTGCTTAAGTAGCATGCATTTTTCCCACTGATTTTCGACGGCCCTATAAATTCAAATATATTTTACAGAATATATGCGCCAAACTATATTTTTTCACTCATATTATAGATAATCATGTCAACTTCATATTTCTTTACTCGGAGAAGGAGTATAATTAGGTTTTAAAACAGTTTTCTTATTCCCGAATAATTTGGAGCTTGATTAGCCGTTGCATTAGTACCAAGTGATTTAAGTCTACAAGGTGCATGCGTTCCGCGCGGGGAAAATCATGCATTCTTCTGTGTCTTTAAAAGGATGCCATATTTAGTCCTTAAAATTTTGCAATGGATGCGGACTATATTGTACACTTAATGAGCAGCAGTGGCAGACGGACAGGTACGGTGCTGTATGAATGGATATTGCACAGTCTTGAAGAATCTCACAATTAAACACCTTTTTAAAAATTAAATGTATTCCTTCTTCAAATATACACTATAAATTTGACATGATTTTCCATCAAATGAGTGGAAAAAAGAATGGTTTTTGCACATTATTCTATAAAATATATTTGAATTTATAAGACCATCGAAGAACAGTGTGAAAAATACATGCTACTTAAGTAGTCACCTACAGGAGACTGAAAAGAAATGCATTCAAGAGCCGACATCCAGCAGAGTCCGAAATATAGAATTATGCCGCAAGATAATCAGTCTTACGACGGCGCCTAAGTAAACCTTCTTAATCAAAAACTCATTTCAGAATTTGGGTCAAAATTTCATGGGATCGGTAACTCACTTCTGGAAGTGTGCGGTTTGGCCCTTCTCACTTTTAATTTACATTTTCAAGGGGCTCATCCCGCCTTTCTACTTTGTGTATCACATGATATTTTAGTTGTCCACTGAACCGGAGCTCGTTTCACATGCTATGAGCTCAATTTACCAACCAGCCCAAAAGGTTAGTTCGTACTTCTAGGCCCTCAGCGGGCGTCCAGGATTGCCGAGGAAAAGGCGTATAAAAAAGGTGAGTCGCGCTGAGGCGTCAGCCCTAAACGAGTACCAACAGTTAGGTAGAACAGGTTGGCCAATTACTTTTCCAGTCGGAACATTGCGTATATTGTTTAGAAGGGATTTGACCGGAGAGGAATGTCGTTTCTACCGGCCATTTTATTAGTACCATTTATGCAGTAAAGCTCTTTGTAAAGCTTGACGTTGGGCCGACTTGAGATGTCGTCACTGGGTATCTGGACGAAATGGATTTGGGTCCGCGTATAAAGCTTCCCCATTAGCCATCACTGCAAGCTCCATTTTTGCCGACTCTTGTGATGTCGCAACGTTGTACCTAACCGCTTCAAAACGTCTAATTGTCAGCGAGTAACCAAGGAATCGAACATTTCCTGCCTGGAACGTATGAGAGTGGGAAGAAGTCCTTTTAAGCCCTCATACATGTAAGGCGGATCTGATCTTGTTGGCAAGGGTCGAGTATGTAAGCCCACTGGTAATATTAGCTTTGTCAGTAGGGCAGATGGACGCGACAATTGACACAATCTGCGGATGTCGTTGAGAAAACTCGCACTTCCACCGTATGTTTGTTTAACTACTCCGAGGAAGTGCCGGGGCGGGCCGGGCACTTGAAAGAGGCGGTTAGGGACGCGTAACCGGGTGGAAAACAGGCAATTCAAGGTTACTGGTGAAAAAAAGTGTGGCAGGCAACTTTAGTTTTAATTCTAACTCTTTCCGGACCCTAGTCTTTAACCAGAATCCAACCCTAAATCCAACTTCCTATTCTTAACAGCAAAATCCGGACACCATCTTGTCCTGACCCTAACCGTAAAGTCAACCCCATACTCTAATCTTAGCCCTAAACGTGTAACCCCGGATAAACTCCAGCGTAACATAAGCACCTAAAGCAAATTAGTAGGTGTGTGTGTTAAGATACTTCAATTATTACCGACTTGCTCACTGCGTCTGAACGTATCTATGAGGACATCTAACCGTCTCACTTGTACCCCTAGACACCACGCTTATCAAAGCCTTTCCGTCAAATTCTGTGTGAATCGGTACAGTTATTTCCACTTGCATGTTATTGATGTCTATTTGACTGTAAAATATTGACTGTATAAATGCCTACGGTCCAAAAATACTCTCTTTCTGTTTTCACTCTGCTCTTATAATGTCTTTTTGGGAATTTGCCTCGCAAGAAGCTCCCGCGTCTTCTTCTTCTGAACTTGCTCAACAGACTGGTAGCATTGAGGAGATGACGGAGACGATAAAGCAGTTGGTTCAGTGGCAAACTTTGTAAGTCATCGATCCTACTGTTTTCTTTACCGAAATCTCGCCCTCCCAAGTTGTCAGTTCCCACAGTTAGCCCAGCCTAATTCATGTATTGCCGAGTCAGGTCATTTGGTGCTTTGTTTTGCAAATTGTGAGCTTTCTTGTACTGAAGACAACAACCTTTTTCTACTTTGCAAACACTCAACTTGACAAAGCCTCTAAAGAATGCCCTGCACAACCTGACATCTGCCATTTGTCTATCGTGAATGCCGTGGGGTTGCAAGCCAGAGCATCTGGGACGCGTAAACGAAGTCTTTTAGCCCACATCGGCCGATGAAGCCAATCCCATCAGTGATTGTCAAGCGAAATTGAACAGGCAATCGATACATTGGGGAGTAAGGCAAAATGAGACTGGTGTTAGCGCAGTTCCCCCCACTTTGCCACTTACGATGCACACTAGAGCTATCCTCACGGGCTGGAATCGCAGCTTACAAGGTTTCCACTTGACGGTGTAGTTTGCTTCACCTATTAAACAAGGATATTACCGCAGTAAAACTCCTTCATGTGGCGTTTATGACACCTCATTTCTGTAGAATCCGGCCTCGCGTGTGATTCACCGATACAATTTTTCTACATCGCGTGACCTCCAGTCGATTCGAATCACGCATCAAAGACAATTTTAGTGGTACTCTTTAGGCGGCTATAAGCCCGTTCATTCCTGGCACGCGTAAGCGGGATATTTTGACTTTGTCGGCCACTGTTACTACGTCTTCCTCTGGTGGTCTTGATCCTGCGACATCAGAATGCGTTAGGTGCAAGATGACTTCAGTTAGTGTATACTTCTTTTGAAAGAATTGACGCGCAATCCATGGTCTTACACACACCTCCGTTCACAACGGCTGGATTTCTTTGTAATGCTTTGAGAGTACCCGGTACCTCGGGAAAGCAGTTGGAATGGTGTACAAACGAATCTCATATTTTGAGGCTTAGACGTCGTTGTCCACTTCTAGAAGAAATAACAAGGCTTTCTTCCGTCCGAACTGAAGGTTGACATACGCAGCAGCTGGGACAGTGAAGCTGGACCGGGTGCTGCTCGACCAGCTTCTACACTTCCTCCGACGTATCGTCAAGGAAATCCGTCGCCTGGATGAGGCTACGCAGGCGATCTGCGTGTTTTGTCGAAACAATCACGAGACATTTGAGATTTACTCGAGTCATAGGGTAAGCATTACACGTACCGTAACTTGTCGCCTACCGGTAAGCGAAGTTTCATCTGCTTTTACGTGTCTCTGGGGTGTCTAAAGTTGCATCAGCGGAAGCCGTCTACTTCTCATTGCTTGCAGGTTAAGGATCGGGATGGCCGCGTAATATGCCCCATCCTACGAAATATTGTCTGTCCAATTTGTTCAGCAACCGGCGATACCGCTCATACGGTCCGATTCTGCCCCCAGACAGCCATCCAAAAGAGATCTACTGCCCTGCCCCTGACACATTCGCAATACTGTTCAATTAGTGGACCGAGTCCGCTCAATGGAAGTTCGCTTCTGAACTATTTACAGTTTTGCTGCGCCAACGAGTTCAGCTCTGCAACTTCCTCGATTTCAGCCCTTCTGCGTTAAAAAAAACGGAACTTTATGCGCATACTGAGTATTTTTGTTTACTTCTGTCGTTTGCGTGTATAAGTTTTAAAGCATTGGTCGGGTTCCAGTGATGTGGAATAATTTATTCTTGTTTGCCCCTTTCATAGCAGGTTCAGTAATTCAAATTCCTCCCAGATGACAGTTTTTGTACTTCCTGTAGTTGGGAGCACCCCTTAATCCCATTATAAATTTTCAGAAATAAAGCGATTCTGTCAGCTTAAGGCTTCTTGTTATTGGCAAGTCGGTATTTAGTCAGATATATGCATTGAGGTCTCTCGACTATTTTACTTGGCGTACGTTTGGGTGTTAAAATTTCGCGGAGTTATGTACTGCGTGATGAGGTTCAGGTTCCAGAGACACGATTTAGAAGCGATACTTCCTACCAATTAACGTTGGAGGGGGCTAGTTTGAATGATACTGAGAAAAGTTGGCTCTGAATGTACTGCAAGTACAATACACGTCCGGGAAGAGTATGTGTATTGCGTAGTCCTTTCTCAATAGTAGTCGATTTTCAGATTTAAGGGAAATGTCATCAAGACAAACTTCTTGAAGGAGGGAAAGGTGTTGTATGGGTGTGCATTAATTTAGGGGATGCAACCAGCCGAACTCTGGATCCAGGCAGACGCTGAGGATCTGCTCTTGTTTGGTCCTTGGTCCTGTCGAGATGTTAATGAGTATTACGCAGTTGCCCGCTGTGGCTGATAAACTTTGGCCCAAATATTTATACATAAAATTCTCGGTCTGAGCCTCTAGACCTTGAATAAGCTGATTTACCCATCTTCGTATTCTAATTTCTGAGGAAGTTAGAAAGCGACAATTTCTAAATTGAAGTATCGGCCAGAAAACACACGGAGGATGGTGGGGGCCCACTGAAGAGCCGAACTCCTCGAAGTTGCGTCATGCAGCGGCTGAATATCGGCTAAACACGCGTGTATAGGCTTTTGGCTAGTACCTGTCCTGTTACTATGTTATCATCTTGCCTTAAGGTGTGCTGCTAGCTGCCTGTTGGCAGTTAATGAATAGTACGCGGCTACCGGCTTTGGCTGATGGACTTTGATCGGAATATTTATACATGAAATTCTCGATCTGAGCCTATAGACCTTGGATAAACTGATCTGCTTTAACTTCGTAGATAATTTCCGAGGAAATTAAAGGGCGACAAATGCTGTCCAATCAGTTGCCAGTATCTCCCTCTCCGCGGTAATTGGTTGCTTGAACTATGCTTGGTTTGTCTTCCGCCATGCGGTCTGCGGGTGATTCTGATTTAGGTAGTTGACCGGGTTTCGCTGAGCGACACGATACATTAAAGAAAGCCAAGAGCCAGACAAATCACTCTGAAAGCTAAAACTAAAGTATTAAAGTATAGAACGCGCTGTCGGCTTTCAAGTAATGCAGGGCGGGAGTACTTTCAGTGAAGCACAGTAAAGTGGGGGCTGGGTTACGAGCGGGACGCGCAAAATCAGAATAAAGAAATGTCTGGGCAGCGCACAAGAAGAGTAGGGAAAACGCGGTGTACGTAGAGGAGGAGGCATTGATGTACGTAGATCTCTCGTAAATGATAAACGCGGAAGACTATATGAGTATGCGTACAAAATACGCCCGTAGATGCCAGAGAATGAAGCGTTGTTACTGATGAACCTGTCGAGGCAGCCTATGCCACAGGCGGACCTCATGCAATGACCTTCAGGACCGGTCCCGAATAGAGAGAGGGTGGACGCCAACAAGTGGTGTTGTACTCAGTGTAGAACGATTGGATAACAGGTTGGAGGAAGTTGGCAGCCGCACGAGAGCGCATGTCTGGCACCGCGGAAGTAGACAGCCCTGTTGGACGATGCGGCAGGCGCCAGAGCGCCTTGAGCAAGGGCACATCTGACAACCTTGAAGTTGATTGGCCGGTTTGGTTAACCGTGATTGGCGGAGAACCGAGAGTGCGGCGGCAAAGCGCGGAAGGCGCAATACTGTGGCAGACGCCCTGAGTAGAGTCACTTCAAATGCACCCCTCCCCCACCGGAGTTAGGGTGGAAAATCTGAACGGAGGTAGATTCGTTAAACTGACGGGAATGAGAAAGGCGTCGACGGTAATGTGCTACTGGCAGGGTGGACGGCTGCAATTGACAGTAAGGGGCCAGGATAACAGGGGCAATTGGAGGAAGCCGGTGGTTGATTGATTGAGTCGAACGTCGACAGCAAATCCGAATGCCGCATCGGTATTAGTCGGTTTTAGTGAAGTGACGCCCTGGTGATAGTGGTAAGGTATCGGATACCGGGAAGAGCGTCCTGGTGTGCCGGCTGTACTAGAAGTACCCTTCTACTGACCGAGACCAGAAACGGCCCCTGGCTCCGATGGGCTGGGATCGCTTGATGAAATTCACCTCGACTTATGAGAGGGTGTCAGCAACTGCGTCCTATCCACAGACACGAGAAGTGGCACAGAGAAACAGCAGAATGATGTCGAGTGTGGATTTTGTATCTATTTGGCCCAGCCACGCCTGGCAGCGCCGTGAGAGCAGGCGTCCCTGTTGACAGCCCGGCAGGCGTTAGAGCGCCTTCAGCGAGAGCATATCTGAGTCGGGGTAACAATCGGGATAGGACACCCAAATATCCGTTGCCCATAAATAATACCTACTATATCTGTTTGAGTAGGTTATAGCCCTACATATTTGTCGTTTCATCCGACCTCAGTTTCATCTGACCTACAGCCTACATGTTGCTTCACTTAGATTATCATAGTCTCCAACAGTTGAGTCGGTTCCGAAGTTGATTGGCCGGTGTGAATAGCTGTGATTTTCCGAGAACAAGATTGCTGAGGCTGTCCGTGGGAAGCACAACACTGCATGCACCCGGAGAAAGGTCACTGTACGTCTCCAGAGATAGTACGCAGACAGCGTACCGAAGATCATCAGCCGGCTGAAACATAGGGTAAGATAAAGGACAGACAGTGGGGTGAAACGCGAGCAAAGGAACATTCGTAGGAGAGCAGCGAAGTAGGGCGATGTAAAAAGGTCATAATCATATGGAGAGGCAATTGATGACAGGTTGGCACCAGCAAAGTGAAAAGCAAAACAACGGCGGCGCGATTGAATCATGATATGCCAGAGAGTTGGAGACTGTGACAGACCTGTAGTGTATGCGAGAATGCTGAACACCGACGGAAGCGGAAGATTTGCTTTTCAAACAACGAATTATATTGAATGACCTCGCAGTCCGGAGGTTGGTGTTAGGACCGATAGATCGGTAAAAACAGAGGTCCTCGGCACTAATCAATATTCAGCTGCAGATCTGTTGGTTGAGCCGCATCTTTGGCACTCAAGGCCCACTGGACGTACGACGGGATCTCTCATAAAATTGAGGAAAGTATCAGAAAACAGAGGAGTGAATGGGTGGTTCG